GTTAATGACAGACACTGACACAGAATCTCGCGGTCTATAGAGTCAAACTCTGCTTTTAAGTTTAAAAAGACCACCATTGTCGGATGCCGATGAGTATGCCCGAGTTCTACAATCTGACAAATGGTGAATATGTGGTTGATGTATTCATGAGCAGGTCTCAAGCCATGTTTACTCTCTAGTTAATTTCCTCCCAGCTGTTATGTTATCAGGTTCTAGCGCACTAATGAAGAGTTCTACATAATAACTCAGTACCTAATCGAGAAATCCCATGTAGATTATGTAATTTTTCTAGAATTTTCACATGCATTGATTTTACCTAGTTTATTACGTGATATCAACTATAGTTAGACTATTCTCATCTTAGAAATTTCCTCTGCTTTGTCATGTGATAATCTGATAACAGAGATGGAACATCACATCAGACAAGAAAATAATATTTCTAGATCGTAATAGAAAAAATAATTGAAACGCTCTCAGGTTACTGTTATCATAATAAAGGAAGTTGTATATTTTCAGAGCAATTATCATAAACAAAGATTATAGAATACTTAAAATTATTGGTTTAGTTCACAAATACACGTTTTCCTTCTTATTTTAATTTAATAATCTCAAAGGTGAGGATAGCCAAAACGTTGACATTTTAACAGAATTAAAAACAAAGAATATGATTGTCAAGATTGTCAACCTACTACGAGTAACTTAAAACGCTCTGTTATTGCGAAAATTGGGAGGATTTCGTTGTTATTTACGCAATGCTGTCACACAGTCACACGTTTATAGAACAGTGAGGGAAGTGCCACTCATACCGTCATATAGTTTTTCACTACGTAAGTGAGTGAGAGGACCAAAGAGAACGTCTGACATCTGAACCGGGTTGGTGAATACGGAGAGTAGACCTAGGGGAGTGGTAAAATTTTAATTTCAAACCAATGATGCACTAGGGAATCCAAGATCTAGACATTTAGGGAGCACCTCAGAACACACAATTTAGATGATGAATAATTATGATGGAATGAATCACACTTGAGGTGGCCCGTGGTTCTGTCTCCTATTTAGAGCGTGTGTATGTTTACTATCGCTGATTCTCGTATATCATCTTCGACTTAAATCGCGTTATCCAATAACGGAATTAAATATGTCGAATAACGAGAAATGACTTGAGAATACATATATTTCGTACATGAAACGAATGAAACATAGCAAAGCAAAATTACACGCAGGGAAGATGGCTGGGAAGCCAACTCCATCTTTGTCAAGCGTTACTCAATATTTATAGTCAGACAAAATAAAGCTACAGACATGTGATTAATAGGATAAGAAGGGCACACACATATACGCTCATATAAAAACAGTCAAGGGTAATAAGCGAATAATTAACAAGGTCAAAACATGACTCAAGTAGAATGAATAGAATGGAATGTCCGGAAACTAGAATAAGATATATTATGGGCTAAAACTAATCACTAACACTACACACTGCAGTCAAATAAAGTGTATTATTAGCAAGTAAAGAAATAAAGACAGACAAATCATTCTATTTAACCTCATTATCAATAAAATGTATCGGAATCGAAATAACATCACTTACTATCCCAAACGAATCCAGGGAGGCTTAAATAAAATCAAATAAACACGGGAAAACTGGTAATAAATTGTTTAAATCCCTGAAATATCAGCAATTTGTAAAATCAATTCGTATGTAATGTCATTGAGCTGAACTGATAACTTTTCGACAAGGTGGTGAAGAAAATCTGCGCTTAATTGCATTTATATTAGTTAGGTCTTGGAAGCGCGTACTATCAAGGTCTGTGTGTATAGATCGTTCTTTTCAGAATTTATATATGCAAATGCCCGTATCCTAAAAAATAAATTGTGTGAACTAGGCGTATTTGTGCACGAACTTAAACCATTCATCGTATCTATGACCAAAATGTGAATTTGACGCTACTCCAGTATTTTCCGGATCGAAGTACATAAGAATTGGTAAGAATAGATTCAGGAAAGGGATTTTGTGCTATATATATACATATGAATGTTTGATATTCTGTTTGAAAGTCCCATGATAGTAGAACTTGTGAAGTCGTTAGCTATGAAGTCAGTTTTGAACGTTCTACATTTATACTCGATGTCATTTATCATTGTCCAAGCTGCTTATCTGACGATTTTATTTTAGAATATATTCAGCAACAGAGTAAAAATATAAGATACTTGATATCATGAGATTTTAATGTATCTGTTATTAGATGGACTGAGACGGCTGCCGTAAGACTTGTAAATTCTTTTGATAGCGGGCTTTTAGTGGCGGTGATAGAGCATGCTTTAGTACAGCATATATCCGAACCCACACGTTTATGTTCGAATAGAGGATCTCGTTTGTTAGTTTTAGTAATCACTCATGCGATCAATGATATTGCCTATCTAAATATTCTACCACCGTTGGCCAGTATCGACTATGCTGTTTTATCATTCACATTTGCAGCTTATAACATATTATATAACCATGTTAAACTTCACTCAAATGCGTGTAGAACAATCATATCAGGCATATAATTGTAAGCTGAAAAAACTGACTAGCTCATCAAGTGAAGAAGCATGGTCTACAATTAAAGTCTGGTTACGTCTCCATTTATACTATGCTTAGTGTAGCGTAGACCAAATAACAGTCCATTATGGATAAGTGAACAGATTAGGAAATTTCTTAGACGTTAGAAAAGGCAATGGAGTATGCTGATCTCTACAGGCTCCTAACAATATAGATCCACTTATCGTAAAACTAGGGACTCTTGCAAAGCGCTGATAAGTAAACCCAGACACTAATATGAAAAAACTGGTTGGGAGTTGTGAAAATAGTCTGAAAAGGCTATTCTTGTACATAAAGAGGCGAAGTCAGAGAGTGGATGGAATGACGCCACTTTGATACAAGAAAATCATTTGAAATCGCTATAAATGACGCTGAGAACTTTGAAGCTTTATTAGAATATCTTAGTAAAGTGTTTTCCACTAGCGATGGCGGGAGGCCAACAATTATTCACGACTATTTCCAAACCTCAAACTCGATAAGCCCATTTGTTCTGACGATGTTGATCCTAGGGTTATGAAAGCCCTATATAATGTGATTCTGAACTCCTGACCATACTGTATGGTAAATACCCTTGAGGCAGTCTAGTCTGTCATGATACTGGAAAGACGCAATAGTCAGTCATGCTTATAAGGCGTGCAGCAGAGACTTGGTAACCATCGAATTGTTGGTATGACCAGTCCAGCTGTCAGAACTAATGGGAAAAATTATTCAGATGGATATTTCAATATATGTAGAAGGGCATAATCTTTTATCCAGGGAACATATATTTAGTAAAGGCCTGTCATAACTGACAAATCTGCAGGAAATTACTGGATAGATGTAGTTTTCATTTGAAGATGCATACCCAGTTTGTCAGAATAATATTACTGCATGACCTAGGTTCACTGGTTGCATGGATGGGCAGGTGGTCTCTAGAATATAACTCTAACAAGTGTGTGTTTTCGTAACTAAATAACTGCGACGATTCACATCAAAACACAATATGTGGACTGGTTACCCAAGTTAGCAGACTATGACAATCTGGCAGTCATAATAAGGAATGAACTCTGAACTATGGGTAACTGCAAGGCTGCCACTACCAAAGGCCTCAGGGTCTTATGGGCTATTCGTAAGTCATTTCAGTTCTCGGATGAGGATGTGGTTAGGTTACTAAACTCGACTTTTGTAGGTCAGTATTTGGAATATGGGATTCAAGCAACAAGTCCTTGTTTCAAGTGTGAGACGGATATGCTAGAACGAGTTCGATGGCAAAAGATCGAAATGGTAAAATGTCTCTCTAGCATATCTTATGAAGACAGACTGCAATTCATCAAACTATTTCCGTTATTTTACTGGGTTGTCGAATATTGACTTATCGGAACAATGATCCCGATGTAAACATGTCGTATCTTACCCTTTTACGTAGGACTGATTATTTGAGAGGATATTCCAATAAAATTCAAAAACCGAGATAAACTCTTTTGTCTGGAGTTCAGTTTCTAACAACGAGTAGTGATGTACTGGAATTTTCTACGAAGACACGTAGTATCAGCACCTATGATGCATACAGAGCGAGGTTGGACAAACTGCAAGGGTTAATACGGGTCGATAGAACTCCTTTCCCTACAAGTGAATACTGAGTACATTAACCTTTACCAACTGACGTTCAAATAGTTGCATTTTTGGCATCCGTTTGAGTCATAAGTATGTAGACAAGAAGATACTACTTACGATGGAGTATTTTTAGTTTAGCATGGGTTAATAAGAACACAATTTTGTCCACTTATAACTTATAGACCTTTACCCACTAGAATATAGGCGTCTTAGAGGTGATTTATTAATGGCTTATAGTATTCTTAACACTTCTGGACATCCTCTTAAACACCTACTTAAGCTTAGTTCGAACAATAACCTAAGGGGTAACACCCAGAAACTGAAAACACAACATAGCAAGACGGAATGTAGACACAACTTCTACTCCTTAAGAGTTGTCAAAAGCTGGAACTCGCTGCCGGCCGAGCTAGCCCAAGCGACTTCTCAGGAGTCCTTCAAGAGGCAACTTGACCTATTCTTAAGGACTAAGGACAGCATCGCACTATGATTTACCAATTTCTTTTCCTCTTTTATTGCTAACATACCTAGGTTCCTGCCTGGAGGATTTGGTGATCCCCTGCTACTAGACACGGAAGCCTGTTAAGCGAAAGCTTCTTCTATTCCGTCCACAACCATTTGAACCATTTGAACCATTTGAACCAGATTGTGTCCGTTAACTTCTTTGGAGGGGAATTTATTCTCAAGGTCGCCGATTGCGTGTTTTTTGATATACGATACTAACATTGTTCCACAACATTATTCTGTTAGTTTAGGTGTCGATTCACACAAAACTAGGCTACTTATGTGGCACAGAATCTGTTCCTGATCTGCTGTATACTGAAAAATAATGTCGTCAACTCAGGTAAATAAAATTAGTCATTTGTTTCTTGAATAAAATTATAGTGTTACTTCTGGATCGATATTTAAACTATGAACAATTTCATATGATGATAACACAAATCACTTATAAGTGAGACAACTTACTTCCAGCAACCTATAGTTTACGGAAAATAAATTGTTTCCTTGAGAGAAGTACATACACAGATACTTGGTTGCTAAAGTTATTAGTAGTTGGGTTATGTTAGAAATTAACTCCTGAAATAAGTTCTCTGTCGCATCTAAGTTCAATCACCATAAAGAATTGACATATCGTTTGGATATTAATAAAAAGGCACTAAAATAAGGTTACTTACTTACGCCTGTTACTCCTCGTAAAGGACAATACGCCGCTCACCAGTATTCTCCATCCAACCCTGTCCTGGGCAATCCTGTTCAGCTCCTTCCAGTTATTATTCACCCTTTTCATATCTGCTTCTAATTCCCGACATTATGTGTTCTGTGGCTTTCCTATTTTCCGCTTCCCTTCAGGATAACAAGTTAGGTCTTGCCTCGTGATACAGTTTGATGTATGTCCTATCCATTTCCATCGTCTTTTCCTAATTTCTTCTTCATCTGGAAGTTGGTTTGTTCTCTCCCACAGAATGCTGATACTGATGGTATCCGGCCAATGGATGTTGAGTATCTTGCGTAGACAACCATTTATAAATACTTGTACCTTCTTGATGGTGGCTGTTGTAGTTCTCCAAGTTTCAGCTCCGTACAGTAGAACTGTCTTGACGTTGGTATTGAAGATTGTGACTTTGGTGTTGGCTGACAGTTGTTTTGAGTTCCATATGTTCTTCAACTGTAGGAATGTGACCCTTGTTTTGCCAATCCTCACCTTTACGTCTGCATTTGAACCTCCTTGTTCATCGATGATGCTTCCCAGGTAAGTGAGGGATTCTACATCTTTCAGAGTTTCGTCATCAAGTGTGATTGGATTTCTGTTTTCCGTGTTGTATTTGAAGACCCTGATTCTCTCCTTGTGTATGTTGAGGCCTAGTGATGCAGAGACTGCTGCTACATTGGCTGTCTTTATCTGCATTTGTTCATGTGTATGCGATAGGAGGGCTGGGTCACCTGCAAAGTCCAAATCGTATAATTGGTTCTGAGCTGTCCATTGTATGCCGTGTTTTCCCTCAGATGTCGAGGTCTTCATAATCCAGTCGACCACCAGAAAAAAAGAGGAAGGGAGAGAGTAGACAGCCTTGTCCGGCTGCGGTTCTTACCTGAAATACGTATGTCAGCTGTCCTCTATGCACGACTTTGGACTGTAGTCCGTCGCATAAATTCCGGATAATGTTCACAATCTTAGGAACTCCGTGGTGTCGAAGAATTTTTCATAATGTTCTATCTACACTGCCAAGCGCCTTTTCATAATCAATGAAGTTGATGTATAGTGACGAGTTCCACTCAACTGATTGTTCGGCGATTATCCGTAGTGTCGCATTTTGGTCTGTGCACAACAAATCCTCACGGAATCCAACCTGTTGATCTGGAAGTTGGGCGTCTACTGCGTCTTTCATCCGGTTCAGCAATACTCCGTTAAAGAATTTCCCTGATACTGACATTAGTGTAATGCCTCTGTAGTTTTCGCATTTGCTCAGATCTTTCTTTGGGATATTGATGAGGTGTCCTTTCCAGTCCATCGGCACTTGTTCCTCCCCCCAAATCTTTTTGAATAAGTGAAGCATGTCTATGGTTACTTCAATGTCTGACTTCAGTGCTTCAGCTGGTATATTGTCGGGTCCTGCTGCTTTCCCGCTCTTGATTTGTCTGATGGCAATTCTGATTTCTCCCGTCGTTGGTGGATTGACATCTATATCTATATCTGTGTGTGCTACTTCGATGTCCGGTGGATTCATTGGAGCCGGCCTATCCAAGAGTTCCTCGAAGTACTCTACCCATCTATTCCGCTGTTGTTGAATTTCAGTGATTGGCCTGCCTTTGTCTTTGACTAGTCTCTCTGGTTTACTATATTTCCCTGCTAGTTTCTTCGTTGTATCGTAAAGTTATTTCATATTTCCTTCTCTTGCAGCTTTTTCCGCCGTCGTTGCTAGTTCTTCCATGTAGTTCTTGTCGGCCCTAACGCTCTTCACTTGCTTATTTGCTTCTATGTACTCAGCTTGTACTTGGGCTTTCTGTGCTCGTTTTCGGCTGTTGTTAATTGCTGCCTTCTTGTTCATCCTTTCTTTGATCCTGTCCAGTGTTTCTATAGAGATTCACTCCTTATGATGATGCTTCTTGAGGCCCAGAACCTCTTGACATATTGAAGTTAATGCTTCTTTGATACCTTCCCATTTGTCCTCCATAGTAGTTTCTTCTTCCTTCAGTAGATCCTGTAAGGCTTGGAACCTGTTTTTGAGAGCTATCTTGAATTTTTTAATTTTATTTGTATCTCGAAGGAAGGCAGTATTGAACCTTTGTACTGCTGGTCGTCCAATTTTCCAGTTCTTCTTTAGCTTCAGTTTTAAATTGGCCACAATTAGGTGGTGATCTGAAGCTGTGTCAGCTCCTCTCTTGGTTCTCACATCTTCCAATGTCCTCCGAACTTTTTTCTTGATGCAAATATGGTCTACCTGGTTCTCTGTGGTGTGGTCCGGTGAGATCCATGTAGCTTTGTGTATACGTTTGTGTAGAAATATTATGCCTCCTATGACCAATTTGTTGAATGCACATAGATTTGCAAATCTTTCCCCATTTTCGTTTCTCTCTCTCAGTCAGTCCATGTCGTCCCATGATATCTTCATATCCGGTGTTGTCCATTCCGACTTTGGCGTTTAGGTCTCCCATCAGAATGGTGAGGTCCTTTCATGGACACTTCTCCATGATTGATTGCAACCTATCGTAGAATTGAGCTTTGTCATCGTCATTACTATCATTGGTGGGTGCATAACACTGGATAATATTCATTGTGATCCCCTCCTTCTTTGTTTTGAATGATGCTTTGGTGATTCTGGATCCGTGAGATTCCCATCCTACAAGTGCATTTCGTGCTACTTTGGACAGCATTAGAGCAACTCCCTAAGTGTGTGGAGCATTTTCCTCTTCGTGACCGGAGTACAGCAGCAGTATTTAGCCTTTGTTGTCCAGCTTGGGTCCAGTGAACTTCGCTGATTATCAGTACTGCCAAGTTGTATCTGTTCATTTCCATTGCTGTCTGACTGGTCTTTCGGGTCCCTCACATTGTCTGGACGTTCCATGCACCTATAAGAATTGTTGCTCTGGTTGTTAGAAGGAGCATTGGCCTCGTGGATTCCAAAGGAACTGGGCTTTCACCATGAAGCGTCATAGTTCTTCTAAATGAATACCTTCTAACTTCGAAGGCATAGTTCCAATTATTTTTTCTGGTTAGCGTTTTTTCATCGAGTTAGTTTTCTACGGGATGGGTTCGCTAACCCCATGCCCAACCCTCCTCCTTTACCCAGGATTGGGACCGGCAGTAACTCCAAAAGATCTACAGGCGGAGTTAAAATAAGATTAGCAAATGTAAGTAATATATAGTTTGCTAGACCTGGTTCGTTCCTATGCATTTTGACCTAAACCACATCGCTTAGCCTGTGGTATTTTAGGAACTTTATATGTAGTAGAAAGTGTTTGCTGATTAAATATGCTTGAGTCCATTCCTATAAATTTATTCGACTGGCACGGAAGGCGAACTCACCTCATTTTGCAAACTTTGTGGCTATATACAATTAACCCTAATTTAACAGTCTGGTTTATTGATTCACCAAGGTGTAGGATAGTGTGGTTTATTTCCCACTACTTTCTGTTATCTAAAATCCAAGTAATATATACGTATTTGAATAAAATACGTATTTATCTGTCATTTAACATCCCTCATCCATTTTACTGGATGCTGTACAAAACCGTTTGGTTATTCAGATTTCTCGTTACATAATATTTAAGATACCGATTTAGTTATCACTGTTACATTTAATGATAACATATAACAGTAACCGTTCTGAACCGCCAAATATTAAAAAATAATTTAAAAGTCACGAGTCTAAATTAGTCGCTGGTTTGCAATGAAAATCTGCGTGCAAGGATTTAAATTTGTTCTCTTTTTCGTGGCAATCAGTGAATCTACTTCTGACCTATTTAATTCACCACTGAAATTTTAGGACTTTATAGATAGCAGTTGAACTAAGAATAAAAAGAATATGATAGAACAATATATCTTCAGCAACCGTGTTCAATTCAAAACCCGACTATTCAAATAGTTATAGGGAGGTTCGGACTTGCAACACTGCAATACATACAAGATTGTTATTTTTACCATCATCATTGTGCATTTACCCATTTTATATCTCTAGATACGAAACTACGTGGCGGAACTTTCTAATTTAAAGGATCAATTCAACACCCTTTCTAGCCAATCTAGTGAGAAGCTTAAAAAAATTATTCAAACTGTCCAATCTTATCAAACGCGTATGGAGCCGCTAAATAAAAATATGGAACAACTTCAGATTTTACAAAGAAGTTAGTTTTGTATTCCATCGCAAATTTTATTCTCCACTTGCAATTAGTTATTATTATATATTATTATTATTATTATTATCTACAAATGAATGTTGACCAAAATTACCAGTTAAATAAATGTCTAGCTATTACATGCAGCTTTCAGTGGAGACAGATACTTCATTTACTGAGTCTTCACGTATTCGGAACTACCCTATATAATTCCTTTTTGTTAACCTTAAGTATCAATAATCTCCAGGTTGAGGTAGTAAATACCGAACTATAGAGTAAAATATTTCTTTGCTCTCATACACCCACTAGAAGATATCTCTCTTCGGAAATTCTGACCAAACATCATCGTATGTTTTGTCTAACCTTAATATAGATTTGTTTGAGTAGAAATTTCAATAAAAGCTAGTCTTACTGTTAAACCGCTACTGAGGCCTCATACCATATTTTTTCACATGTAGGTTTTAGGAAAGAGAATCAGGTTTTAGTGAATAAATTAAAAAAATAATATTCACCTTAGTGAGTTAGAAATAGTAGATTTGTATTGCTTAATTAATAGAGTGTCACATTCTAAGTTGCTTCTGCGTAACTGAGCTTCTTGGATTTTCAACCTGTAAAATAACATGTTAAGTAATTTGTTTCTTAAATTTTTTTACGTTATACAGATTTAGAGGCCTGTCGATTAAAGTTAAGTCAAGTGCAAGAGTATCACCGCACCGGTCGTGAGTTGGAAAATACTATTAGACAAGGGTAATTTTACAATATATACAATATATATATATATATATATATATATATATATAATTCATAACAGAAAGAAAATCTGATTTTCTTTTCTTTCTACTTGTAGACCGACAGTTTTTACTGACAAATTTTTAAAGGCTATGGAACGTATAAAGGATGCGTTGGCTTATTTTCAAGAGAATAATCCACAAGATGTTGAATTTAGTCGATTGGTAAGGGGATATGAAATATTATCAATCAGTTTTCTGTACAGATGATTATTTTCTATTGCATTTATCTTCTTTTGCATTTAATTATTTATGTCTACGTATCTTCAATTTTTTTGGCTCCTAGACATCATTGTATTCAATTGGTTTAGGAAGCTTGGAACGTGAATTCGATGGTTTATTAAGACAAACTTTCCGTCCTATAGATGATGCTACTTTAATAAGATTAATGGATCAAAAAGGTGCGTTTTTAGTTGTTTTTAATAAAGATCCTAATTTGTCTATTATATTTAGAATTTCAGTATTACCCATCCCTCAAATGTGTTTTTCTTTCTTCATTAATTCTGTTAATATTTTGGGAGGATAGACAAGAGTTATGAATTTAGTCCTCTCTTGAACTAATTATCAGACTGCCTCAGTCATTATGTATGTAGCACTTACTTCTGTTCGTTCAGGAAATAGTTGTTTTCTGGCTACCTTTTTTGTTATTCTGGATATACTAACTATCCAGTTTAACTTCGATAACAGGTTAGAGATAATCTTGAGTATCTTATTAATGTAATCAAGTAATAGTCATCTACTATTAGACGGAAACATAATGATTTCTTCCCTCTAGATGGAATTAAGATAGATTCATTTTTGGAAACTATCTTTGCCAAGTTATTCATATTTACGGTGAGTTAGGAGATGCTGTTTTTCGTTATGAAACCACCAGACTAGAAGTTACAATAATTACGTCTAATATTATTGGTTATTGGATTTCCAACTGTTTATTCACTATCATTTTCCGTATTGTTCTGATAAATCATAAAATCCTGTTTACAAACTTGAAGTGTGCACATTCTTTCATTGTTTTGTAATTTAAACGGCGTTTTTGTAATTTTAACTTTCTTATTTGAATTTGATGTTTTTCTTTAAGAATGATAGACTTCGACCGTGAACTTGGCGTTTATCATTCTCACACCCACTAGTTGATTAAATCTAGGTGACCATCGTTAATTTAGCTCACAATGTATAATTAGTGACTTGATATACTCAGTTTTTAATCAACATTTCACAGGTACAAACTCCTCTCGATCTACTTCAGTATAGGCGATTTGATTGGGTTGTCTAACTTTTTCATGCATTTTACTTTTAAATAGGTGGCTCGTTTTCAACTATCCACCTATTTTGCTACATCATACAGACATATCCGATGATTTACTAACTTCCAAATATAGTTTTGTTCTAAGATATATTAGTCCAACTCCTTGAGTTTGTTCCTGTTTGATGGTCACTTTTCTGTTGTATAGTTTTATAATTTACTGAAAAATTCAAGTAGCTCATATGCTTAATATTTACTTAAAACTTCCCTATTATTATTAAACTACTAATGCAATTCGGTAAGCAAGTTCAGGTTTATGTATTCAGCTTTAAGTCATACTCTTTTGCCTGTAAGACCTAATGATATATGGCTATTAGATTTAGTCATAAAGTAATTTATTCACAATCCATTTTGTCAACACTAAACCTTTAAATTTTAGTCTCTGACAAAGAATCAGGTGATGGTTCATTAATTGAAGATACAGAACAAATAGAGGATATTCCAAATAATATGTTGAATAGTTTACGTTTTCTTGCTAAATGGATGAGTGAAAATCAATCATTTGTAAACAAACCACAAGGTATATCTCAAGGATGTTTGACAAAATATTGTGAATGCCGTCGTGAACTTATCCGTTTAAATTTAGTAAGGTAATTTTATGTTAACAGTGTATGTTTCATTTTATCGATCAACATAATTCCGTCTATAAAGTATACTGATAGATTTCCCTACACAACTCACTATAGAATCAAAGTTATCAAGTCTGGGAAAAATAGGCTTTAGTGTCGTGCGACAAACTGGCCTTAGCAACTTCTGATTTATCATACATCGAAAATAATAAAGATGATGATCACATTTCAGGTACGTCCTATCAGTCTCAATAGTTAAGGCGTTCAACGTTTATCGCTAACCTGGTGGTTCGATCTTCTGTCCAACCTACTTCAGTCTAGCCAACGAGGTAGTATATCCAGCGCTTACTATTAGAATGTGATTGGAAGCCAAGTGTGGGAATCTGCACGTAGTAGGCGATCGGAATCCAAGCACGTTTTGAGGTAGTCATTTCTAAATAAGTGGGGGAAATATTTGTTTCATAGTTTAGGTCAGGGTTCATTAAATAAAACCTATCTAAATATGAAAATCTAGCTTTCTTTTGTGTCACAAATCCATTAAATTTTGTTTTCTAATTAATTTTTATTATTTTATACCCATGGTCTCCTTAATTCAATAATGTGTTATTTTTGACTGCCTTAATATATATGGGATTACAAGCCTATATAAGGCTTGGTCTGATCAATGTTTGGTATATCAATCGTGATAAATTTTGATATCTAAAGGTGTAAAAAATATATTCTATTATGGTTTCATTTTCATATTATAATAAGACTATATTCCTTACCTAGTGAAAATATGGAAAGACAACTGTATAATTTGAACACTCAGTGAAATATTGAACTATTGACCACATATAGCACGCATAAGGGGCGTTGTATGAATGAAGAAATCTGGACAAAGTCACTAATCCATCTGTCATATAGGTGCTTGGCCGTCGAAATATTATGTTCGTAACCGTTAAGCTGCAGGCTTGGACTTCGCTTTGCATATCATCAGGTTTTGATGTTGATTTGTGTGGTGTAATAACTATGCCATTCATTTGAAGTTTAATTCTGTAGTGCAATATTTTTTAATGCTTAATATATGATACAAAAACATGTTACACATGTGTTTTATTGTTGATACTACTATTTAACGAACAGTTATCTCCCTACACTACATGGAATATTTTTAGAGTACGTGAATTATTAAGAAAAGCTGAAAATCCATCATCATCATCATCATCTGGCACAATATCTGTAAGTTTATTTATTGTGTTAATCTCTACTGAATTTTCCTGATTAGATACAGATTTTGCAAAAAATGTTATACTTTTTGCATATTTGTTTCCAATTATTTTAGAAACCAGGATTTCTGCCGCCAAACGTACGTGGTCGCACTAAACGGTAAGTATTAAACTTTCTCTTGTAGTATTGTACAATTATCCTACTTTATATCATGATGTCGTTAGTTTTTTCTGTTTTATGAAATTGCTAAACAAAATTTAAAAATAAATTGTTAGCTGTCATATGCAGATATTGTAACCTAATTATTTTGTTGGAAAGCATACTCATCTTCATATTCATGAATTAATCTCTTATCCGCTTGTTGTCCTTCTGGGATTAATGCTGGTCCCAAACCCGGATAAAAGAGGAGGGTTGGACATAGGGTCAGCAACAATGTCTCGTATAAAGCAACGTTGTTTAAAAAAACGCTAATCAGAATGAACAATCTAAACTATCTAAACTCTGTCCTCCGAGTTGAAGGATCTTCATTTAGAAGAATTATGAGGCCTTATGGTGAAGGCCGAGAATCTGTCACCAGTTCGACGCCCCTTCTAACAACCAGAGTAACAATTAATATAGGTACATGAAACGTATGGACAACGTAAGAGACCAGGACGACTAATCAAATAGGTGTAGAAATGAGGAGATACAAGTTGGCGGTTCTCAGAATAAGTGAAACCCATTGGATGCAGACTGGACAGAAAAGATTAGATTTGGGAGAGATACTGCCGTGCTCTGGTCGTGAAGAGAAAAATGCTCCACACACTCAGGGATTCGCTCTGATGCTGGTCAGAGAAACATGTAAAGCACTTATAGGATGAAAATCTCATGAACCCAGGATCATCAAAGCGACCTTCAAAACAAAGGAGGGAGTCACACTGAATATTATCCAATGTTATGTACCCATGAATGACGACGATAAAGATCAACTTTATGAGAGGCTGCAATCGATCGTGGCGAAGTGCTCGGAAAAGGGCCTGACCATCTTGATGGGAGAAATGAACATCAAAGTGGGAATAGACAACACTGAATATGAAGATACCATTGGACAGCATTGACTGAGAGAAAGGAATGAGATTGGCGAGAGATTTGTAGGCTTATTTGCATTCAACGAATCGGCCATAGGTGGCACTATATGCCTCACAAACGGATGCAAAAAGTTGCATAGATTTCACCGGATCACGATACAGAGAACCAGATAGATCATATTTGCATTGCTAAAAAATCCAGATGGTCAATGGAAGATGTGAGAACTAAGAGAGAAGCTGACATGGCTTCCGATCTGAGCCGCTGTTGGTAAACAGACCTAGTTGATTATTCTAAGAGAACATAATTGTTAAACCCTTTGTTTTGGTTAACACTTCATCTAATGTTTCAACTAACATCAAACGCTTTATGATCACCTCTAATAAACCGATGTTGCATAAATCAATAATATTTGACTCAGGCATTTGTTTAAAGGCTGGAGAAAAGTTCTACATATCATTAAGATTCGATCATCCAAGTACAAAACTACGCTGTTAGCACAGTAGATGTTTTCGAAACCTTAACGCATAGATCTTTAGATCACGAAGTGACAATTCATGAATGTTATTTTTGTCACTACGCATACTGTGAAGGCAGAATATATAAATAACGTATGCTAAGTTGAATCATCATTGAATGGGCGATGCAAATTAATTACATGCATACTAAGATGGGATTTGTCAAATAGTGTTAGAAAATTTTAGCGTAGTTGCTTTCTTTAAGCTTACTGGTGTATTGTGGGGTTTTCATTGTCTAAAAAATTTTTTATCCTAAACACAATGATCAGTATGCAGTTTTTCAAAGTTTATGCCTATTTTAGATAATCTTTTCAATGACATTACATACGAATTGATTTTACAAATTGCTGATATTTCAGGGATTTAAACAATTTATTACCAGTTTTCCCGTGTTTATTTGATTTTATTTAAGCCTCCCTGGATTCGTTTGGGATAGTAAGTGATGTTATTTCGATTCCGATACATTTTATTGATAATGAGGTTAAATAGAATGATTTGTCTGTCTTTATTTCTTTACTTGCTAATAATAAACTTTATTTGACTGCAGTGTGATTCATTCCATCATAATTATTCATCATCTAAATTGTGTGTTCTGAGGTGCTCCCTAAATGTCTAGATCTTGGATTCCCTAGTGCATCATTGGTTTGAAATTAAAATTTTACCACTCCCCTAGGTCTACTCTCCGTATTCACCAACCCGGTTCAGATGTCAGACGTTCTCTTTGGTCCTCTCACTCACTTACGTAGTGAAAAACTATATGACGGTATGAGTGGCACTTCCCTCACTGTTCTATAAACGTGTGACTGTGTGACAGCATTGCGTAAATAACAACGAAATCCTCCCAATTTTCGCAATAACAGAGCGTTTTAAGTTACTCGTAGTAGGTTGACAATCTTGACAATCATATTCTTTGTTTTTAATTCTGTTAAAATGTCAACGTTTTGGCTATCCTCACCTTTGAGATTATTAAATTAAAATAAGAAGGAAAACGTGTATTTGTGAACTAAATCAATAATTTTAAGTATTCTATAATCTTTGTTTATGATAATTGCTCTGAAAATATACAACTTCCTTTATTATGATAACAGTAACCTGAGAGCGTTTCAATTATTTTTTCTATTACGATCTAGAAATATTATTTTCTTGTCTGATGTGATGTTCCATCTCTGTTATCAGATTATCACATGACAAAGCAGAGGAAATTTCTAAGATGAGAATAGTCTAACTATAGTTGATATCACGTAATAAACTAGGTAAAATCAATGCATGTGAAAATTCTAGAAAAATTACATAATCTACATGGGATTTCTCGATTAGGTACTGAGTTATTATGTAGAACTCTTCATTAGTGCGCTAGAACCTGATAACATAACAGCTGGGAGGAAATTAACTAGAGAGTAAACATGGCTTGAGACCTGCTCATGAATACATCAACCACATATTCACCATTTGTCAGATTGTAGAACTCGGGCATACTCATCGGCATCCGACAATGGTGGTCTTTTTAAACTTAAAAGCAGAGTTTGACTCTATAGACCGCGAGATTCTGTGTCAGTGTCTGTCATTAACAGGAGTACCTCAGACGTAAATAAGCTTTGTGAAGGCTCTTTACTCGAACACTACTAGTCGAGTCAGAGCTTATGGCTATTTGTCATTTGATTTCGCAACCTCTAATGGTGTCCATCAAGGCTGTCCACTATCTCCTCTTTTGTTTAATTTTATCATAGACCTACTGCTGGAAATAACGTTCTCGTCGACTGAATTTTCAGGACTTGATCTCCTACCAGGAGGTCTACTTATCGACTTAGAATGCACAGATGATATATTCCTGTTTGGTGAAGACGCTGATAAAATGCAGTCTATTGATTGCACTGCGCAACAATGCCAGAATGTTTGGGATGCGCTCCTCCCCCTTTAAATGCGAATTACTGCTTCATGACTTTTTCATTATAGTTGCACAATAATTTTATGGTATTTGCAAAGAAGAATTACCATCTCCTCAACAATTTAAGAATTTATGATGGTTATCAAAAGAAAATTGCAATAACAAGTTATTAAGTTAGCAAATTATTCTGAATAAGATGGTTGAGAAGTTAAAGTAGATGGTTAGTTATTTAAAAGTATGCAGAATTGTTCATTTAATCTCGAATCAGCAGTATGTTAATCACAACTAAAATAGGCGGAAAAGGTGCGTACTTTGAACAGTTAAAAAAGGTTATCTTTGCATATTACACGGATGTCAAGTAAAATTTAGTTAGTTATTGCTTAATAAACAGTAGTTATTATTAACTTATAACCGGACACTGATATGTTTACTTGGCTTCTAGCCATACTTTAAGTGTAAGGGTTGTCAATATTTATCAGTTGCCCAAAGTGAAATAGATTGAGCAGTGTTTGGACCTGCTACTTAGTGGATGTAAGGTGAATATTTTAACCACTGAGCTGTCAACCTCCTAAGAACAGTTGAAAATAGTTTCAGTCATTGTTTTTATTTTTTATTTAACAAGCACATAAATACTGTGGTTAAAATTAATATCATTAGTTTACTAATTTTCCAGTTCAATATTCATCTAATTCTGTAATGTACTTGAAGAAGTATTTATGTATAATTGGTCGACAACAATACCGTGTAAGCAATCATGTAGGATATAAATAGTTGGTAGTAGATTTACTATTTCCCAAAAGTTCAACCTTGATCAGCCTAAGACAGGGTGTTTTCTAGTCCTATTTCGGGATTTCTAAGCTACCCGAACCCAGTTAAGCTCACCGCATTAAAGTGTACACCTTCGATATATGAAATTTCAGAAAACTCTGTAAATACCTGTTTTCCTCCCGTGTCGTCATCGGTTAAAGTAGTGAATAAAATTCTGTTTTCGTGTTGTTTCTTGGCACTGTGGCTAACTGTTTATGCTTCGTAAAGTCGTGGACATGTTTTCTTGACCACATATGCCTTAGAAATATTGTTGCAATCACCAGGTAAGTAATAGTGAGGTTAGACACAGAGTATTACGGAATGATGGTGAACCAGTAGATAAGGTTGTGAATCTTCCTCGACTGAGATGGTTGGGTCACGTATTACGTATGCCTGAACACCGATTACCAAGACGCGCAATTCTGTCTAGTGTTGGGAATGGTTGGAGAAAGTTATAGGCGGCCAAACCAAAACGTGGCATCAGTGCTTGAAGTCACTAACTTCTAGTCTGAGCCATGTTGGTAGATGCAGACTACTTGGTTGGGGTCCACGCGACTATTGTAACCAATGCTTGGAGACTGAGTGACATGGCTCAGGATCAATCACAATGGCGTAGGTGTATACACTCTTTGTCTTCTCTTGAACTATGAGATTAAAATCGCTTCATATGTTTCTACGCACTACTAACTAAGTCCTTATATGCAATCTTTCTTTTATATATTACCATCATTGGATTATCTACTTCTGTGAATCCAGTGTTCATCTTGCTGTGCTAATGCGGCATGGCAACTTGGACCGATGCATATATGTGCCTGGTCCTACGTTGTAGTTGACTGACTAGACATGTTTTCTGACTAGTGTTTAGCTCTGTGAGATGTTCCACTTCCAAAAGCCTAGTAACATTAGTGATTCCCATATAATAAATTGTGTTTACAGTTTGTTAAGTAGTTTTTTAGTTTTGAGTAGTTTCGGGAAATTGGTTTATTCCAAATTCGGTGTACTTCAGGAACTGTTCTCAACTGGAGTACCAAGGTTCGATCCTTGTTGAGGTTTAAGTGAGGACTACTGCGGAGCTCACCCTAGAACGAATAAGCTATCCAATACTCCCTGGCTTTCAATAGTACCCGAAATGCTATCAATGGTAACGAGTAAGACCTACTAGTTCTTTTAAAAAACTATTAATTATAAATCTTCTTTATGTTCATTGAAATGTTCGACTTTATAATTCTTTTTGTGTATAACTTGTAAATATACTGTTCTTTTTTTTGTTTCATTTTCTTTTTATAGTAAATGCTGTTCGACTGATTAATGAAGCAGAAACCGATGAACTTGATTCTGAACACTATGCTATCGCTCTAGGTGTTCTTGTCAAATTAATGCAAGTCAGTGTACACTTTGAGTACTGCGTCATTGATTTTTCATCGTCCTCAATATATATTAGCTGAACATCCTTTAAAGATGAGATTCTAGATTGTATCTTCGGAGAACAGTGCCGCAGTGGTTAAAACAATCGATGTTCAATTATTAACTTTATTGTTTAGTCGTTCAAACCCATAATTTCCAGCTATTTATCACGGGTTTGAACCGGGCTCCCTACAGCCTCCTGGTATCTTCTCTAATGTCCAGTACTATGTCACGCCTACACGGGTTGTTCTAGCTTTCAGAGAGTCCAAATATTTTGTTCCTGTTGAGCCATTATTCGACCTTGTCAGTTATTCGCTTGTAACCTTGACTTTTCATATGAGCATGTGTGTGTACCGCTTACTCGCTCCTCAAATATCTTCAGCTTATTTTTGTCTGGCTTTAAATAGTGAGTCACACTTTATCAAATAGAGTTGAGACGCTTCGCTTTTCTGAGTGTTTTCGCTTTCCCGCTTCTTATTCTTAATGTCTGTCTGAGTAAATGAAAATCTAAAGTAAATCCAATCCAACTTAATCTGTATTTGGCTTATTATTACCGCCGTCGCACAAATGGGCTAATCGATACGTAATATATAGAACTAAACAGATTTACGTTTGTCATATTCCTTCGTTTATACAAATCGGAGTCAAATCTCCGGTCATTCAAGTAACGATCCATCATACTTTAAACCTTACACAAAACGTCTGGTTCCAAAACCCGAATTGAGTAAATGAATCATCATAAATTTTATCTGAATATTGTATCACAGGTTCAAAACCTGCTGATCACCGATACTTCATTTTGAATACGCAGCTAGTACCAATAATAATGAAATACATGGGTTTGCATATAAGTGCTGAGTTGCATTAAACGTATTTTTTATTTAATATAATCCCATTGTGCATTACAAATTTTTATTAAGCCAGGTGGATCATTCAATAATAGGATTATTTCCTAAGTTTTATACCTTCGATAATTTTGTTCGGGTACTAACCAGTTGTAAACCACTGAATGTAGTTTAGTTTATCAATTATAAGTCGTAAGTTCTACATTCTCCTTCTTCATCAATACCTTCAATTGTCTTTTGATTTTTGACCGTAGTTTTTTGTTACTACTTAGTAGGAGTGCACGAGGATGTGTTTTATTTCCTAGAAAATTAAAGTAACTATCCTCCACTAGCTATTATCATTATTTTATTTAATATTTTTTAGAATGAATGTATTTTGTTGGATCGTTTACAGTTGACTGCTAGTCCACAAGATTCTCAAGTGTTATTGTTCAATATATTTAAAAACGGGTCATCTGATATCCTAACTGAAGGAACAGTAAGTCTATTTCTTTTTCTCCCTCTTTAATAGGTCATATTATTAAAATGCTTGATATCAGTAATGATAAGTCAGTATCTTAAAAGTATATTATTGGAATCCAAAATTACCATTACAACTTATTGAAGGCTATTTGCATGATGAAAACCCTACACTAACATTCACACCACCTAGTTACCTAGTTATAATCTTTTTGTCTAATCCATAGTGCTAATTTAGTTCTATCGATTAGGCTTAGACCTTCCTACCTGATTGGCTTTAACTGTCGAACACTTCTAAATTTCTGTTCTTTGAACTAATGTATATTTCCCAACAGCGCACAGTAAGACTTCATGAGCAATCGAACTCAGGACCTTCAGCTGTCGTGGTGAGATCCTAACCATCACATTAATTGTTTGGGATTCAATGGTACATTTTTAACTTCAGTCAGTTCGTTACACAGAATGATGACCGTCTAATTCCGTTGGTGACTACTGTTTCGCCCCCAACGTGTTTAAGGTCCACCGGTCATAAATTTTTACCTGAAGTTCAGAAATTCATCTCAGAGTTATCGGTGATCACAAGTTTTATTGGATGATCAGTTGTGCAGATTAGTTTAAAATAAAGAGGGCATTCGTCACAGAAACTTGAAGGTTGTGGATTTTTTTCTCACCATGTTCACAATTCTGGATAATCAGAAAATTGTAGGATATTATTGGAGATTATTCACTATGCACATTATATTATGAGTGACTTGACTGACTTGACAAATCGATCCCTCTCTCCAGTTCGACCACAATTCCAGTTTTTCTGTGTTTTAGTAGACATCGTACGCGGTAGGTAGCCAATATTTCTTAAACATGTGTCGAAAGACTAATAAAACTCCGTTTTCTTTTATTTTGTTTCCAAAATATCTCTTCAGGAACTTCTTATCTATTTAACCCATCATTATGTAATGTAATTGATGTGCAATAAGCATTAAATATCATAAATGATTCAGTAATATTTACATCGCACTTTTGTTGGTTCATATTCACAGACTTTGCTTTGTTTTGATGTTTACCATAGACACTAACTCGTTTAATGCATCGAGCTCAAGGACGGGCAGAATTTCATATGGTTATGTCATTATTAGTAGTACTTAAAAAGTTTTTCCAAATTTCTGATGATCTTGTATCTGTACTTCAGGTAAGATAAATGTTTTTAATTATTGAGAATTTTCTTCATTAATTATTGGAAACATATGCATCCATTTGTCTTTTTATAAATGTTAGATTTTGTTCAAGTATTCTCTCTAAGGTTGAAATCCGGTATTATATATGGAATAACTTTGGTGGAGTTTTGTTCTCTGAGCTGGATGGTTTGGTCGACCAAACCATCCAGCTCAGAGAACAAAACTCCACCAAAATCATCCACCTGAGCTACAAATCTTCCCCACCATCTATATGGAATAACGCTAAATAGTGATCATATCGTACCACTGCGTTTGATTAAGGTAGAAAATGTAACCGCTAAATTTTGTCTTCAATGTTCTAGTTTGGATCTTATTTAGATCAGATCATGGATATGTCCAAATTAAAATAGTGTAAATATAAGCTTTTTAAAAAAAATAACGATGATTGTATGAACTCTCATTTGAGACCATAGCACTGTTTTATTTGATAAATTAATCAATTTTTAGTAATAAATTTGTATATACTTAACAACTACTAATGTTAATTTGTTTTTTCCTTTTTTATTTATTTTCTAAATAGGGTGTTGATAATGTATTAATTGATTTTAATCAATTAGTTCTTCGTTTATTAAGTCAAAGTAAAATAACGCTAGAAACTTATGTACAATTTTTACAACAAGTTACAGAAAAATCTAGTTCAAATAGTAATATTGTACCCGAAGATGGAACAATACATGAACTTACAACTAATGTAAGTGAAATTTCATTGATAGTTGTGTATTGAACTTTAAAGAATAAGAACAAGTATGTGTTTTCTTTCTCGTTCATTGGTCATAACTTTGGTGGATGTGTGAATAAAATAGACTTACACTGTAAAAGCTGTTAATTAGTGGTATATTTTTAAGAAGAACACTTTTTTGATATTATTGATCTGTTCAGTGAAAATGTTAATCAGTAATGTGAAATTTTTTTTAGAAAATTCTCTAGGTTGCATCAAGCCTCTTTCAAATACTCCTCATTTGTGCCTGCACACTTGTCCCATCATTTTGTTGACTGTTGAAATACACCATTCTGTGTAATCAGACCTTGTCATTTCACTATTAGTCGTCCTATTGCTGCTGTCAATACAATTTCGGATTGTATAAGCAAACTGTAAACCTAAGTGATGTAGTCTAAATAACTAGTTGCATGGATGATCGATCTAGTATGACAATTGAGTTTGTAAAGATATATGTCCTTAGCTCACATATTTATTATTTCATTTATTGGATCAAGGAAATCATAAATTACATAGATTAGTACCTCAAATAAGGCAAGCTGTCTGTGTTAGCTAGCTCAAGGTAGTAGGGGCTGTATATTATTACCATAGTCTTTCATTTTTGCAGTGAAGCCCTCCCAGTATTTTTAAGTATGTAACTGTTATGTCCTTGGACTGTCTATCCACTTTTGGTGCTGAGTTTACTTATCTAATCCAGATTTAAGACCTTGGCGCGATAGGCTGACGGACCTAACTTTGAGGCTAGTACACATGAGTTCAAAATGGGGTAGAGGGGAGAAAGCTATTTTACCACCTGATTGGCTGACAAGCATGCGGACGAGAGAAGACAAAACAACTGGAACACTACTTGATCTATTCCCGATATCCTGATTTCTGATTTTCTTCTGATTTCCAGATTAGTGTAAAAAGGTACATGAATAAGAAGGTGACTAACCCGACCACAACGTACAATAATTAGGAAAAAGACAATTATGCCCAAAGCTGCTGGGAACTAGAGTAGAAAATAGGGTGCAAAATATTATGTTTAAATTACAATTGCTTCGGAACAGAAAAGGGTAACACAGACTATCTATTGGTCATTTATGTTGTGTGCGTGCAACAAAGTCAATCTTAAGTTCAATTCTATGATCATCAAAACACCATTCAAAGTTTACTAAGGATTATCGGTACAGTATAATAATAACAATCTGATAATGTGTTAATATTCATAACTGATGAAATAAACTTTCTTGGTTTTTTCCAGTCACTGCTGTTCTTATTCTTCTTTCATCGAGTATACATTTCACAAAAATACTTTTTTGTGACCTATATAAACAACAGACTAAAATATCACTATTCATCACCATTTTGCGTGTAACATTTCTCCAAGATGACATTTAAAAGGTAAATACTAAGAATTCTTTCTTAGTTTATGACTTCCTAAAGTAAATGATAAAAATTGTACTATCCTGAGGCAAATGTACACTGGCTCAATTCGTCACACCAAGAGGTGATAATCAAATAAATCATCAACTATCAACATCTCTATCCCTCAGGAGATCAGACGCGACTCGAGCACCTCAGTAACAACGTTTCAGACTGTGAAGCTAAGTGAAATGGGTTCGAATCACACAGTAAACATTAGTTCCATCAGAATTACATATAAGTCTTGTTGATGAGTGCCATGTATCATAAAATCTAGGTCCAATATCGCCTGTTGACTACGTCTAACCACCTAACGAGTCCCTCTATAAAATACTGTGCCTACTAATTGATACGTATCAGTATTGTTGTTATGCACATTGAACTGACTTGAAATATCTATGTATATCTGTTTTTTTCCTTATCGATTAGGCACTGATGTATTTAGAAAACTTGTTAGAATTCGCTGATATTATTGGCACTACTTTGTCATTTACTGAAGCTGGTCCACAAGCTACCACTAACACACTTAAATATCTTACCACTATTGGCCAAAATCATGCCTTTTTGGAAAATAAATTTGGGAATTATTTATGTAAGGATTCTTTTCTTTTTTTGTATGATAAGTACTTTTTTAGTTTGTTATTGACAATTGAAACTAGTTTATTCATAAAACGTTGCTTATTATCTTTCGAGGGAAAATAGTACATATTCTGATCAGCAAGAACTGTTTACATCTATTTAGAAACATGCACTCTATTCATTTTGGAAGTTTTTTTGTTTAATGCATGAGTCTCATTTGTTTGTGATCAATGAGTTATTCAATATACAACTGCTGTTTTTTATGACAAAATCAAATGTCGAAATACTAAAGTTGTTGAAAATAGGCATTTATAAATGATTTTTTTCGAACGACTTTAGTTGACCTACACAATTTATCAACTACATCCATCTTAGTCTACATAATCCTATTTGCAACTTTATGTGAACACATCCATTTCAGAATAATCCGAAATTTATCTGACATACATACTATAAGGTCATTGATATATTCGTTGAAGAAATGGTTTTGCAGTAATACAAAAGAGTTAAGGATAACTTGAAAAAAAAGTCTTATAACTCACAGTTCTCTGTAAAGAAGTAATGAGTTATTTCTTATAAAATGCCTTACTTTTTTCTCATAGCAAAATAAAACCCTACTTAACTGTTGATATTACCAACTGAATATTTACTATGATGTGGTTATATCATAAAGGAGATCTAGAAACGTAACAAAAACAAACCGTAGTTTACACACCGAAGACAATAGTCAATTAGAAAATATAAGCATCCGAAGTGTTTCTTTCATAATTCGGATCACGACTATGATAAACTCCCTAAGAGTACAATATACAAAGCGAACAAATAAATATGGAATACTAAATTTGATCTGTGCATTTTAATAGAGCGAATTCATATAGGATACTTATCACTTCAGGGTTTCATCACCTATGGTTTCTGCTCAATGGTCACCGATACGCAACATTCCAAGACCAATCATGAAGTCTCAGCTTCCAAACGCTAGTTAAGAAATATCTTTCTAGCTTTCTGAATCAGATGTTCATGTTAGAGTGACTACCCTGAAGTTTATTTGAACTACTCCTCTAGCCATCACCGAACATCTGTTGAAACAAAAGTTCTCTCGCTCAAAACCTCTCTAAATTGACTAAAAAGTGCTTTGAAATCACCATTACAAGAAAATTTCAACTACATATAAATCCTTTATTTTAACTACTTAACAATTGCAACACTGCTGGTCGCTTCCCAAAGCCGCATTTAATTGCTTCAGAAATAAATATTTCTCAGAAGCAATGACAACTATATTCATTAGGGTTTATTTGTTTTTTCCTTTCACCTTTTGGAGCCTTTTAATCCAGGAATGAAATTATGTAACATAATTCTGGGTTGTTCAGTGGAACCGCATAAATGTCATAAAGTATTCGAAATTTATTTTGCAACATATCGGTCAGTCAGCTACAACGTAGGATCAGGCACATATATGCATCGGTCCAAGTTGCCATGCCGCATTAGCAAAACAAGATGAACACTAAATTCATAAAAGCAGTTATTTCAATGGTAGTAATATATAAAAGAAAGTTTGTAAAAGGATCTAGTACAGGAAGTAAGATTTAGAAAGGTATAAAGTAATTTCAATCTCACGATTTAAGCGAAGACAAAGAGTGTATACACCTACGCCATTGTGATTGATCCTGAGCCATATCACTCAGTCTCCAAGCATTGGTTACAATAGTCGCGTGGACCCCAACCAAGTAGTCTGCATCTACCAACATGGCTCAGACTAGAAGTTAGTGACTTCAAGCACTGATGCCACGTTTTGGTTTGGCCGCCTATAACTTTCTCCAACCATTGCCAACACTAGACAGAATTGCGCGTCTTGGTAATCGGTGTTCAGGCATACGTGACACGTGGCCCAACCATCTCAGTCGACGGAGATTTACAACCTTATCTACTGATTCACCATCATTCCGTAATACTCTGTGTCTAACCTCAACATATACATAGATCTATAAGCATTTAACTATTTTTTCACCATTCTTATCTTCGAAAATTGTTTTTTCCTCTTAGTTAATGCTATATTCGCTCTTATGACAAATTTGGAACGTAAATCAGAAGTTTATTCTGAAGAGATACGTCGAATGATTTTCCAAATGAATAATATTCAGTACATATTGAAAAGTATTTATAAGTATGTGTGATTTCTAAACTTATATAATGTGATAGTATTCATGTAGTCCATTTAGGGAATACAAACTTAAGTATTCAGTTTTAAACCACACTCTGTTGAACTGCTCAGACCGAAGTAAATGTTGCAAAACTTACAATCTAGTTGTTGCAAATTAATTATTGTATCCATGATATTACTACTATAAAAGTCATGTGTTTCTAACTAGCTGAATCTCCATGAACAAATTGCTAATAGGTATATATCCTGTAACTAAAAGTTATCCTAAATCAATATGTTCAAAATCAGATAACTTGAGTGATAAAGACCTTATGAAATTGAAAGTATATCTATTAAATATATTACTGTCTCTAGTGAAATTTTTCCAACCATTCTTCCATTCACTATAGTAGTTGTAACGATCAAAAGTCCAATAGTTGATCTGAGCTAATTAACCAAAGGAGATCAAACTCCTTTTTTCTGTATAACATATAAAGCATTTTTGAGTTACTCATTGTTATAACGCTCTGATTTCCTCGTCTACACGAACTGGATTCCAATTCGCCTTGGACGAATATCTTCACTAGATACCCTCCCAGTGTTTATTCTAAAGGCCTTCAACACAACTCAGATCAAGAACACATGACTAGCCCGACTAGAATGCATGTATACTTCCACACCAAAACCCAACAACAACCCGTCAACAGTCACAGTAACAATAAAAGTAAGAGAACATATAACTCATCTCGTACCTCTCAGAATATCTACTAATCTGACCAAAAAACAACCAATCATTATCAACCTCGCCCACAAATCATCAATACTAGGTTATATCAAAGCACAAACCCTTTGTAATCGGTCCTAATCTAACAAAGGCAGCACATTACATCAGGCACAGTCAGGCTGTTACGCTATGTGTTTTAGCGCACATGTAACATATTGTCGAGGATTTTGGGATGTCGTTATTTATCAGGTGTAAACGGTTTTCTTTCCGTCTCAATAATTTTCATAATATTTTTGTTTGTTACATGACATTTATTACAGTTTATTAGTAGTTTGACGTGTTTGTTGCTGACATCCTGTGTAAATGTTTAGTAAGCTTAATGTGGTTATTTGTAACATTACTAATTCAGGCTAGTGAAATTCACCGTTTATGAAGTCAAAAATAGACCATAATCAGAGTTTTATGGAAAAATGAGCGTTAAGAACTTTTACATATAATTCAGGTCCTTAATTATGGTGGTGTTGAAAGTGGATATTGGTGGCTGTTTGTAAACTGTAGATTTAAGCAATTAATCTAACCGATTGGCATCATAAACATGGTATAAAGCAAACTACTAACATGGTGAGTCGTTCATAGTTATATGATGGGGATTTGAAGCTGTCAGTGTACGATACGGCGCAATCCTAGAAGAACTAGAATCAAATAACAAGTATTAATGAGTTAATTCTTGAATTCCTACTGCATTACAGATTGACTTTGTATAAGTCCAAAGTAATTCAGGCCAAATACGTGGCGAACATTGAACGAGCAATCTAACCTAAAACACAAATTTATGACACTAATATCTCCATTCTAGCCACAAAACTCAGCTAAAGTAATAAAATATTGTATAAGATAGTTTGTTGGGATAAATTACGTTTAATCTGGAAGACCAAATCATCAATGGATGGTCGATTCTTAATAACAGCAAACACGTACTACATAGGCTATGCTGACGAGTGGACACAGTTTTCTTTTTTAATTGTTTATGGGTTCTGGTCATGTTAGTAATCTAATTACCCATATCGGAGTTATATGCCAAAATGAACTGTGAAACTATTTGCATTTCATTCACGTCCTTAATTATGGTGGTGTTGAACTTGGATGTTCATAGCTGTTTGTAAAATGTAGGTTGAATCAAGGAACTGTGCATAAAATTACTATAAGTGCCACATTAATCAGTCACATTTTCGTCATAAGTCACACGATGCCTGTTTGTTGTGAGCATGGTAACTGAACCTAATTGTAATTAACACTAATTGCTGATGTGTCTGTTGTAAGGATAATCAATGAATTTCTATTGACGGAATCCTTTATTACCCATAAAATTTTCACACCACTTATCTGTCTCTGAACTCCACTCGATTATTACACCACCCATCCTTAATGTTACCTTGATTCTAACAACAAATAACCTCTGACCTGTTATTGCATATATACATATGTTTATACTTATTATTGATAACCTACGTTATTCCAATTCTTTAAATTCAGTTATGTCAACTGGGTCATACGTCAATGTTAAATTATAATACATATTTGGTTGTAAGCAGCTGACGAGAAACCACGAAATATAATGAATGCATACTATTCTGCATCAATATTTCTTCTAGTTTTATTTAAATTCATAAGCAGAACTAATCGCATGAAATTATAGTCTACCTAGGTAGTGATACTAATTTGATAATAAACGTAATGACACGGGAAAAAAGTCAGAGCCTTTCGAAGCTGCTCGTCCTTTCGTTTCAACGACCTTAAACGGCCTGACAAAACGCGGTCATTCCGTATTTCAATTGCCATGGGTTTGTTAGGTTGCATGTGTATCAAGTTTTTCCATATAAGTCATCTTTCGCTGCACTAAAAAGCACAAAATAACTGCCAAAAGCATTAATTTAGCGTTCTCTGTTTTTTAGTGTACAAATTGGCTCTGTTGTTGCTTCGTAACTTGATCTGTGATTCCAGCTGCTGTAGTAAATCTCAACGAAATGTCAAGTCACCGGTAAATCTTAAATATTTGTAGTACTTCCTTGGGTTATTACTGTTTCAAGGAATAACTTTTTTATAATTAATGATTTCTGTTCGTAGTGCTTCATGCTCAAGTGACATTTCAGTGGACCTTAGCGATGCTTTTCAAAGTATGATACTGAACAAGCGTTTCGCATGCTGGGATGACTTTGATAGCGCGCTAAAAGAGTTCTGAAAAGTATGGATGAATAATTTTATTCCTTCTCAGACTACCCATACTCATTACATTCACACGGAAAGCAAGTTGCTGAAGGATGTCAGGTTCAAATACCTGTTTGTTACGTTTCACTGTACATTTGGTCATAAACGTAATTCGGAATGTTTGAAAGTGAATCAAAAACCGTGAGGACTTTAACTAATATCTGACGTTTAAGGTGTAAATTCTTTAATTGCCAATCAAAGTTCCGTGTAAGAATGGAGGAGCAAGGATATGTCATCAAATCCTACAAGATGCTCCACAATCATCCATGTAGTAGTTCATGGATGGTTTGTGATCCATGGACAAGAAGATTGTCGTCGGAAGAGAAAGAGAATTTGAAGCCAGTCATTTTGCGGTCCCAGTCAACAGATGAAGTTATAGAAAGTGTCAAGGAGAGAACTGGTAAGGTGGTCACCGCTGCTGATGTAAAGATTATGAAAGCTAAACTCTCCATAGGTAAGTGTATAAAAATATATTTCACGTTGGTGTACTCGAAAACAGGTAATGGATTTGCTGCGACAAAAAAGCGAAGTGAGGGAACATTTAGAAAATGGATATGTAACGAGAATATGTTTCAGTAGTTATGATCAAATACACTTGTACAATAAATATCCAGAAGTTGTGTGTATTGATTCTACTTATAATACCAATAATAAGAAGTGATTATGCTTTTCGTTGTATTACACTTTGTAGATATTCCTTATTCCAGTTGGTTGTGACGGATAATTTTGGTCGAGGACGTGAACTACTACATGGATGATTGTGGAGCATCTTGTAGGATTTGATGACATATCCTTGCTCCTCCATTCTTACACGGAACTTTGATTGGCAATTAAAGAATTTACACCTTAAACGTCAGATATTAGTTAAAGTCCTCACGGTTTTTGATTCACTTTCAAACATTCCGAATTACGTTTATGACCAAATGTACAGTGAAACGTAACAAACAGGTATTTGAACCTGACATCCTTCAGCAACTTGCTTTCCGTGTGAATGTAATGAGTATGGGTAGTCTGAGAAGGAATAAAATTATTCATCCATACTTTTCAGAACTCTTTTAGCGCGCTATCAAAGTCATCCCAGCATGCGAAACGCTTGTTCAGTATCATACTTTGAAAAGCATCGCTAAGGTCCACTGAAATGTCACTTGAGCATGAAGCACTACGAACAGAAATCATTAATTATAAAAAAGTTATTCCTTGAAACAATAATAACCCAAGGAAGTACTACAAATATTTAAGATTTACCGGTGACTTGACATTTCGTTGAGATTTACTACAGCAGCTGGAATCACAGATCAAGTTACGAAGCAACAACAGAGCCAATTTGTACACTAAAAAACAGAGAACGCTAAATTAATGCTTTTGGCAGTTATTTTGTGCTTTTTAGTGCAGCGAAAGATGACTTATATGGAAAAACTTGATACACATGCAACCTAACAAACCCATGGCAATTGAAATACGGAATGACCGCGTTTTGTCAGGCCGTTTAAGGTCGTTGAAACGAAAGGACGAGCAGCTTCGAAAGGCTCTGACTTTTTTCCCATGCCATTATGTCATAAGTACAGGATACCTTAAACGATATAGCCTGTGCTGCATAGTCGACGGTTTATCTAGCACAAAATAGCATACTAAACAGTCAATCGAATCGTTAATAAACACAAGTGATCTGTACCTGAGAATCACTAAGACTATTCCTTTCAAGATGAGATCAAATATCTATTTACAATGATTCGCCTAACCGTTTCCAGCAGGTAATCAAAGGTCAACAATCATCAATCGAACCATGCCGTAACCTTGAGTTTAGTCAAACACGACCTCATTTTGAACGAGCTGGGAACATGCCGTAGCAAAATTAAATAAAGGTAAATCTTTGTTAAAGTTAAATGGTAAAAACCCGGGCAAAAAAAGAGAAAAGAAAATAAGATAAAGTTACAAGAGACCTGAGCAAATTTTAACATAAGGTAGGACAAAAGATTAAAGAAATAACAGTACCGTCCGGTAAAACACTGGAGGGATTTTCAACCTATTCTCGTAAAGATTTAGTACGAACTAAAATCGTTTTTATCGCTGACGGATACCAGTTGATGAACTGTTGATTACTGATGTGCTTTAGGACGCTTGAATATTCTAGCTTAAGACTGCTTGACTGTATAGATGGACAATCTCAATCGAGACTGAGCTCATGGACAGCTTCTCAGGTTAATTAAAGAATGATATTCTTCTCACTTTAAGACCCGAAAACTGTGGTTTCAACTCCGTATGAGGTCATGAGTGTGCACTTTTTCATGATGGGCTCTTAACTAAAGCAAAACACTCACCCAGTCCTCCTTGGCTTTCAGTTGTTCTACTACTGGTTTCATTTTGTGATAAAATTACTTTACGAATTACTAACTTGATTTACAAAATGTATGTTACTAAACAGCCATCAGAAATTTGGTTTAAAAAAAGTTTTGATACTTAGTAAGAAATAACAAAAACCTTCACAAATATTTTGTAACATTCATAATAAGGTAATTTCGTGCTATTGCTTAACAAACAACTACTAACTTTGCTTTCGAATAGAAGGAAACTTGTCATGAATATTAAATATCGTTGTTATTATTACTTATGTATAACCTATATTCCTCATGAGTAAAATATTATGGTTTACTCGTCTACCTCGCTACCTTGCTATTCATAGTAATAGATTGTAAGGAGATAAGGGGCAGCCAGACAAGAGCATGATATCAGTCCATAAAGTCATCCACCTTTTTACTGAGATATGTGGGGGGTAATCCAGACTTCTTGGACAGGAGCGTTTGCTGACATATCTCAAAATTGACCACGGTTGCATAGACATGTTCTTTATATTTTAAATTTCAATGTCATTTCATACTTTTCGTTCCACGCACCAGACAACCACAGGAAATGGTTGCTCCGTATCTTCAGCTGATTGAATTCAGATATATACACCATTGAATTTCGGTTCAGTCGTCTCAATGTTAAGTGTGCGCCCATGAAACCGACGGCTCTGTATTCGACCCCAGGTGGCAGGGTTATGGATGGACAACGCCAAGTCCCATACTAGGATGAAATAGTTGTACGGGGCTTCCAGGTATCCGACGGTTGTCTAACTTGGGTTGGTTCATGATCTCACCAATATTTATTAATCTCCACAAATCCCTATAATTTTGATACTTAATCATCTATTCCCAATTACTTTTTTCCATATTTTGGTTTAAATAAATGGATATATCATTGTTTTTCTTCATTGTACAACTAAATAATACAGGTTTTCTTAATTTATACGTTCTTTTTTTCATTGTGTCGGTAATTGGGATGATTTTTAGGACAAATATTCACCGTTATCTTTTATCACAAGATCGTGAAGCTGTTGCCAAAATTACTAGTATATTGGATGAACGTAAACTTTTTTATACACGATGGTATGTTTAACAAATGTCCGTTTTTGGCGTTCACAATCTATTTCGTTTATGTTTTTAAGGAAAAACAAACTTTATTCAGTTTATTTACTGGTTAGAATATATATTACTAATATCCCGATGGGTCGAATATTGTATGTTTAACTCTTTGATTTTGTGTTCTCTCAAATTCTAATCCTCTGAATTTGTCATGTCCCTTTTTTTCCTCTTTCCAAATTTATTTCACTGTGTTATACTTCTTGAATAACATTACTTACTTACTTACTTCCGCCTGTTACTCCCAATGGAGCATAGGCCGCTGACCAGCATTCTCCAACCCACTCTGTCCTAGGCCTTCTTTTCTAGTTCCATCCAATTCTTGTTCATTTTTCTCATGTCTATCTCCATTTCTCGGCGTAATGTGTTCTTTGGTCTTCCTCTTTTCCTTTGGCCTTCAGGATTCCATGTGAGGGCTTGTCTTGTGACGCAGTTCGGTGCTTTCCTCAATATGTGTCCTATCCACTTCCAGCGCTTCTTCCTGATTTCTTCCTCCACTGGGATCTGGTTTGTTCTCTCCCACAGTACGTTGTTGCTAATAGTGTCCGGCCAATGGATCTGAAGTATTTTGCGTAGACAATTGTTAATAAACACCTGTATTTTCTGGATGATGGCTTTCGTAGTTCTCCAGGTTTCTGCCCCATACAGTAGAACTGTCTTGACATTTGTATTGAAAATCCTGACCTTGGTGTTGGCTGACAGTTGCTTTGAGTTCCAGATGTTCCTCAGTTGTAAATATGCTGCTCTTGCTTTGCCGATCCGCGCCTTCACATCTGCATCCGATCCACCCTGTTCATCAATGATGCTGCCCAAATACGTAAAGGTTTTTACATCTTCCAAATCTTCTCCGTCGATTGTGATTGGATTGGTGCAATCTGTGTTGTATCGGAGAATCCTGCTTTTCCCTTTGTGTATGTTGAAACCTACTGCTGCTGAGGCTGCTGCCACACTGTTTGTCTTCTCCTGCATCTGTTGTTGCGTTTGGGATAGAAGGGCCCAGATCGTCTGCGAAGTCTAGATCATCCAACTGCATCTTAGATGTCCATTGTATCCCGCGTTTCCTTTCAGACGTTGACGTCTTCATGATCCAGTCGATCACCAGGAGAAAGAGAAAGGGTGAGAGTAAGCAACCTTGCCTGACACCGGTCTTCACTTCGAACGACTTTGTCAACTGTCCTCCATGCACAATTTTGCAGTGTAATCCATCATATGAGTTCTGTATGATATTAACTATCTTCTGAGGCACGCCGTAGTGTCGAAGAAGTTTCCATAGTGTTGTTCTGTCCACGCTGTCAAATGCCTTTTCGTAGTCAATGAAATTGATGTAGAGTGATGAATTCCATTCACTTGATTGTTCCACAATGATCCGTAGAGTTGCGATTTGGTCTGTACACGATCTATCCTTACGGAATCCTGCCTGTTGGTCACGAAGTTGGGCGTCTACGCAGTCCTTCATCCTGTTTAACAATACCCTGTTGAAGACTTTTCCCGGTATTGAGAGAAGAGTGATGCCCCTGTAGTTATCACACTTGCTGAGATCGCCTTTCTTCGGTATTTTGATCAGTAGTCCTTCTTTCCAGTCTGTTGGTACTTGTTCCTCATCCCAAATCTTATTGAAGAGAATGTGGAGTATCCTTGCAGCTGCCGCTACGTCTGCCTTTAGTGCCTCTGCTGGGATGTTGTCTGGTCCTGCTGCTTTGCCACTCTTGATTTGTCTGATGGCCATGCTGATTTCTTCAATTGTTGGTGGGCCAACATTGATTGGGAGGTCCGTGGGTGCTGCTTCGATGTTGGGTGGGTTCAGTGGAGCTGGTCGATTCAAGAGTTCTTTGAAGTGTTCTACCCACCTGTTTTGTTGCTCTTCAATGTTGGTGATTACCTCGCCTTCCTTGCTTTTCACTGGTCGTTCTGGTTTGCGGCGATTTCCAGAGAGTTCCTTTGTCGTGTCATACAATTGTCTCATGTTTCCTTCTCTTGCAGCCTTTTCCGCCGTCGTTGCTAAATCTTCCACATATTTACGTTTGTCGGTTCTGATGCTCCTCTTCACTTGTTTGTTTATTTCCGTATATTCAGCTTGTGCCTTGGCTTTTTCTGCTCTTGTTCGGCTGGTATTGATTGCTGCCTTCTTGTTTCTTCTTTCTTGAATCTTATCCGGTGTATCAACAGTGATCCATTCCTTGTGGTGGTGCTTCTTGTGACCCAGGACCTCATGACATGTTGAAGTGATTGCCTCTTTGATCCCCTTCCAGTTGCTCTCCACAGTAGTTCCACCCACATTGAGTAGATCATGAAAGGCCTGGAACTTATTGCTGAGGACTATCTTGAATTCGTTGAGTTTGTTAGTATCCTGAAGAAAGGCCGTATTGGACTTTTGTGATACTGTCTGCCCCGTTGTCCAGTGCTTCTTGAGTTTCAATTTCATCTTGGCGACCAGTAAGTGATGATCTGATGCTATATCAGCTCCTCTCTTGGTTCTCACGTCCTCTACAGTCCTCCTGAACGTTTTGTTGATGCAAATATGGTCGATTTGGTTTTGTGTAGAGTGATCCGGTGAAGTCCATGTGGTTTTGTGTATGCGTTTATGTGGGAATATGGTGCCGCCTATGACCAGCTTATTGAAGGCACATAGATTTGCAAATCTCTCACCATTTTCGTTTCTTTCTCCCAGTCCGTGTTGTCCCATGATGTCTTCATATCCAGTGTTGTCCGTTCCAACCTTGGCGTTGAAATCTCCCATCAGAATGGTCAGGTCCTTTGTTGGGCACTTCTCGACGATTGACTGCAGCCTATTGTAGAATTGATCTTTAGCGTCTTCATTGTAGTCGTTGGTAGGCGCATAGCATTGGATGATGTTCATTGAAATACCCCCTTTCTTTGTTTTAAACGAGGCTTTGATGATCCTTGGTCCATGAGATTCCCATCCTATAAGTGCATTTTGCGCTTGTTTGGACAGCATCAATGCAACTCCTTGTGTATGTGGTGCATTTTCTTCTTCATGGCCGGAGTATAACAGGAGCTCTCCTGTAGTTAGTCGTTGTTGTCCAACTTGTGTCCAATGTGTTTCACTGATCCCAAGTACCTCTAGGTTGTATCTTCTCATTTCTGCAGCAATTTGGAAGGCTCTTCCGGTGTCCCACATTGTACGAACATTCCATGTACCTAAATAAATGGTCGCTGTGGTTGTCAGAAGGGGCATCGGCCTCGTAACTTCCGAAGGAATTCGGCTTTCATCATGAGGCGTCATAATTCTTCTAAATGAAGACCTTCTGACTCCCAGGGTAGAGTTTAAAAGGTTTGAATAATTTTTTCTGGTTAGCGTTTTTTTAGCGAGTTAGTTTTCTACGGGATGAGGACGCTAACCCCTTGCCCAACCCTCCTCCTTTATCCGGGCTTGGGACCGGTAGTAGCCCCCGGAGGGACTCCAGGCGGAGTTCTTGAATAACATCTTCAAACCCTAATGTTTCCGATTACTGCTTATACTCTTACTACCTCTACCACTACGGGATTTGAATCAACAACTGCATCTCTGTGCTAATGTGGTATGGCAACTCGAACTGACGTACGTACGTAAGAAGTTCTACGTTGTCACTGACTGACTGACTTCGATTCTCCGGATAATTTCCATCTGTTAATTGATAATAAACCTGACTCCTGACGGTTGCTGCTACTTTGACTTTGTGGTCGGTCTCGTCTATCGAGATAAACCAATCGGGCTATACTGCCTGGAACAATCGTTCCTCAAGGTTCCGACATGCTAGGTAGGTCGGTTGAAAAGCAGTAAGACTAAAAACAGTAAACCCAAGGTCCGAGAGCGAAGCCGTATTGCTGACCAACATGGCGACCCCCTGTACCAAACCAACGATAGACTCAAATAGACCATATTGCCATCAATCATCGTTGGAGAGGGTCGATAGAAGATGGTCGCTCGTTCGAGAATACCTGCTTGGACTTCGACCGTGTTCTAATATGGGCACCCATCTGCTTGCGCCTCACTGGACGCAGAAAGGCCACACAAAGAAGACCCGTTAAAGTCGAACTCAGTGACGAGAAAGCCAAAAGTGGATTCCGGGAACAACTGAAGCCACGCTGATGCAGTTCTGAAAGCGAGGCTGACCCAGATGTTTCTTGGGAAGATATACAAACAGCTGTGGAAACAACAGTGACATGTTAATGATTTAAACCAAAGGGTTACAAAAATCCAATGAACTTCTGTGACATCTGTTGCAATGATAGATTCTCGTAAACTTATCACATCAGACTCCGAACCCAATGACGAGCGAAAACAAATCAGATCTAGGTTAATCAAAAGTTTACGGAACGATCTTGAGCAGTGGTGGGTGATGAAAGCAAAAGATATAGAGGTAACAAAGGACAGCTTTTCAGACTAGTGAAAGAAACTGCAATTGGGAATTCAAGTGTGAGTGAAACAATCTCGGAAAAAGATGAAACTCTTATCTCCTCTCAGTCCAGACGTTTGAACGATGGATGGAACACTTTAATGATCATTTCAGCTAGCATTTAGCTACCTAACATTTCCAAACATGAAACATTGAAATAGACTCCCCGACTTTAATTGCAGTTCAAAAAACCATAGATAGTCTGAGACGAGGAAGAACAGCTGGTCCAGATGAACTTACCCCAGATTTCAGGCTGGCAGCTGTAGGTTTATGATGAAGCAGAAATGGGGATGGTAGACAGCCGTGACGGTCACCACTTGAGGTTGCAAAATCAGATGACTGTTCACCAAAAGCTTTGACTTGACTGGTTGTGTTCGAGTAAAAAGCCCCCACTAGGTTTATGTACTTCTACGGTACACTTCTCAATGACAGACATTGTCATAGAACCTCTCAGTCTACAGAGTCGAATTCCACTTTTAAGTCAAGAAAGGCCACCATTGTCGGAAGCCGATAAGCATGCTCGTGTTCTAGAACCTGACGACTGGTGAATATGTGGTCGATTTATCCAGGACCAAATCTGAAACCAGCCTGATTTTCTCGTATTTGCTGTTCGTGAGTCTTTGTTAAGCATCCGATAATTAAGGCTAGTATTTTAGATGCTATGGTAGTCATACTACTCCCCCTATGGATCCTTTTTTATATATTGGGACGATCAATGATTGCGGCCAGTTGAATAGGATTACGTCCAGTTCTCGGATTTTAGCTAGAATATTAGTCAACCTAAAACTGAACCACCATTTTTAAAGACATCTGGAGTAAGTCCATCTGGACCAGCTGTTCTTCCTCGTTTCAGATTATCTATGGTTTTTTGAACTTCAATTAGAGTCAGAGAATCTGTTTCAATGTTCAATATCTTTTATATACTTTGTCGTTTATTTTGTCTAACCATTCCTAGCATAATTTATTTTGTAAGAAATCCTTCGACGAAAGCATTGTTATAAACTCAGTACCTATCACTATAAAAATTGTCTTAGTGAAAATGTTTTTATGCACTGTCCCAGTCTCTTGACTGAATAGCTCATAAACACAAACTATCTATCTCATGTTAAATTAATTAATTAAACGGCAGATATCCATGAAACACAGACAACTAGACTCATCGTGAATGCAGCTTATCAATTGGATGTATTCACTCTTCATGTTTATCAACATATTTTTTAGAAAAATATTTTTGCAAACTTTATACTTTCTCTCAGTACAAAGTTCTAGAGATTGCAGAATTTTGTTGAGATCAAGAGCCTTTCTAAGTTAAATAACCATTAGAAACTTGAAAGGATTAGACGTCCGTTTCGTCCTAGGATGGGAATCTTCAGCATCCCACACCGACGACTTCTCAACTGGGAATCCAGCCCAGGACCTTCGGTCTATATGTTATTTCATTATATCTGTTTCCTGTTGTACTTATTTTTTTCACTTCAGTCATGAACTAGATAACTAATCCTTTCTTTTTCTATAAACAAAAATTATGTATTAGTTGTGCTGATATACTACACCTACGACCATTTCCTGAAAGTTGTGGATCAAGTAGTATTCGTCGACGTAGAGCCTCTCAATTTGGATCTGTATTACTAGCTTCTGTATTATCACCAAATCTAAACACTAATCATCATAAACATTCAATCACTAACAATGAGCAATCTCAAGATACTGTGGATGAACATCTAACCAAGGTGTCTTTTTTTGTGCTAAATATAGTACTATCTCATCGATTTCGAGTTGACTTCTTACTAGTCTGTAAAATCTCTCTTATTTTCATATATTGTGTTTATGCATGCAATAGCCTTGTTTATCATGATTTGATAATGAAGAATTATTGAATAATAATGATTGTGTGATTGTTTTCATTTATCAGTTTTCTAGTTAGCAGTAATCATAACTCTTATCTTAACTCTTTGCATTCCTACTAATGGTCATTATTGCGGCAAACATAAATTGGTGCTTTATACTGGCATGTTAATAACGTAGTACTATACTATAACCTTAATTATTTTGTCTCTAAATTATTTTACCTAGAGGATCTTTTTTTTCTTTTCATGTTATGTTGAATAATCTAGGAAATTGTAAATAATTTTTTAACTGTTTTCAAAATTCTTTTATTCTTTGAATTTGTTTCTTTTTCTGTTTCTATGTATGAAATTGATCTAATTCTTTGTAGGTGTGCACGCATGCTTTCATTACCAGATGGTAATATTTTAAATCGTATTACTGGTTTAATTAATCGTTCTTCTGTGAGTTAATTTACTAATATAACATCGTTATATTTGTATAAATCATTCATAATGCATGTATGTTTGTTTGTGTAAATCATTCATTCTTTTCTTATTTTAACAGTAGATCATCTACTTGAATGTATCTATCATTTTATCGAGTAAATTGTTTTTTAACTGTAACTTGTTTGTTCTATATTTGTCTCTTTTACTTTAATAGATAGATCAAAAGGAGAGATCTTTTTTAAAATCTCTTTGGAATGTGAGTTTTATCGATTGACTTTAAAACATTGGATACCTTTTGTATTAGTGGGGTTTTTTGTTGTTGTTGTTTCTGTTTCTCAGTAAATTTATTGTCCTATCTATCAGTCAAGGTTATGCTCGAATGACTGTATCTGTACCATTTTTGTCGTAATTTTAATTCATATTGTTTGCTTTTTCATGTAATTTATGGTTATGGAACAATGAATCAACTTTATTGATAATGAGAACTCATCAACATTATACTACTTAAAAACCAAGAAGAATTTAACCCGTTTGACACTAAATAACATGAATGGTATAAATCTAGTGTAAATAAGCATATTTAGATCAACTAAGACACAAGTCACAAACTAAACGAAACAGAGCTCTGGATAAAACCGCATCCATAATAATGACGTCGAAGATGGGGCATATCCCAATATTAATACATGACCTTGAGTGGTAAACGGGATAATTCCAGTTTTACTTACAATGTCCCGATAAATAAAAATCTTACCAAACTCGACTTCAATTAGCCAGTTATATGTAACATAAGAACTGGCACACATACATGTACATCAGTTCAAGTTGCCCTACGCCACTAACACAGAGAGATGAAATTGTTAGGGCGAATTCCAGAGAAGTATTTATTTATTTATTTAAACACAAACATTGGTACAAGAAGGCACCAAGTAGATATGCACCACATAAATCATTCGATTTGTGTGAGGGCTGTGATACTCCCGGGTGCCCAGATCGAAGCAGGTGGTCTTCTTAGAGGGCCATACCCCGAGCCTTTGACCTAAAGGTCTAACCCACAAGGCAGTGGAGCATCGTGAGGAGATGCAGTCCCATGGTAGCCGGTGACCAATGATTGGTTCTTACGCCATTTGTTCCCGCAGGATACTGGAGCCCATGTGCACCATTGATTTGGAATCCGGTTAAAGCGCCGGACATTCGCTTTTCGTCCTCTCAATTTCGTAAACAACAGTGATGCCACGAGAAGGCAGTGAGTAGGACTTCCCTGGCAGAGGCTGTATAAGCGTGGCCGTGTGAGAGCATTTCGAGAGGGTGGGCGGGCCCACCACACTCTCGGCCATACCAGGGCATTTGGGGACAATTCCAGAGAATTACATGTAACAGTATTAGTGTTAATTAAAGAGATCAGACATCAAAGGTATTACTCTAGAAAATGCAAATTAGTGAAATAAAATAGGAATTCAGAAGCTAATAATATGAGGTAAGACAAGCAATGCATGCACCTGCACCATTGCGAACTATTCTAAGGAGTGTTATCAAATCCTCTAGCAAGTGTTTACTATAATCACGTGGTAGTCTAAACCTGCTTACATGACTCAGTTCAATGGTCAGTGTCTTCATGAACTGACGTTACGTCTTGGTTTGGCCTCCCTTAGCTTTCTTCCTACCTACTCGTACACCAGTCATCGTTGTGCGTTTAAGTAGTCGGTGGACGGGCATACTTAACACATGTCCCAAAAATCTTGGTCGATAAAGTTTCACTACCTCATCAACCGGTTTGTCGTTCTTGTGTAGTATGGTCCCAAAATGTACAAGCAGTGCTTCAAAGCCACCTATGATCAAATACTAATAGCCTTTAAATACCCTTTATTTTTAAAGGCCACGTTTCACAGCCATTAAGTAGAACGGAGTGAGCTGTTGCGCAGTAAACTCTTCATTTGGCTGGCAGACGAATGTCTCGCCCACGCCATAAGTGACATAAATTGGTAAAGACCGACTGAGCTCTCTAAATCGGTGCCAATTTTTCATCAGACACCAACTAACCGGTGTTAATGAGACTTCCATGATATGTAAAGTCCACTTCATCTATGCATCATAAACTGACCAACTTTCGGTTTTGTTTAATTAGACCATAAATTTGCTCTCGATAAGTAGTGGAACATGACAAATATATGTATGTCAGTGTTGTAACATAAAACGCCCCCACTTCAATGCTGATCTTCATTTAGCTCACAAATAATATTAACTCTCTGCATTTTGAGGAGTCGATATAATCGAATACCGAAAGCCGCCGTACATTCTCAACTTTATATGTATGAAGTAAAAATGTATTTACTAAAGTGCTTTCCAATGAATATTTTGCTTCAGGACGAATGTCGTAATAGCAGTTAATTGATTAACGCATATACTACTGTAATTTTTGTGTTTCACATAATTTTCTCTACTAGATTATTTACAGTTGATTTGTAATTAAGATTTACAATTATTAACTCATATCTCTTTCTCCTTGCTTTGTATTCTAAGGATTTTAATAATGGACTGAATACTTTAACTAAACAACATCATCTTGTTTCAATACCTGATCGAGAATTGAAAAATAGTTTAGAGCATCAATTAGTACGGGATCTAGTCGCTTTATATCGTGGTTTCTGGGAAAAATCAATGTCTATCGCATTCACAACAAATCGTGATAAATATATTAAATTGTCCGTTGAAGAATTTGAAATTCGAATACGACATTTGTTTAATGGAACATCAACTAACAGTACACGTCAATAAAAAAATACTTCCTTTTTTTTAAAATAAACGAAATAGTGATCTTCATACCGTTATTATCGTTGATTATGTTACTTTAGTTGTTTCTTTATTTGAAAGAAAAAAGACTTAGTTCCTTCGCAATGTTTTCTCCACAAAATATAAAACTGAATTCTCTGTTTTTATTTTTCTCTTTCTTTCTTTGTTTTGTAATAAATAGTTTGAAAACTTACATTGATACTGTACAATAATTAAATGCTTAATCAAATACATAACGTTATTGTGCTTTTTTATGTTATACGTATCTACAGCCTCCAAGTGCCCTGGTGCGGTCGAAAGTGGGAAGAGTCCGCTCTTTCTCTCGAAATGCTCTCACATGGCCACTGCCAGGGAAGTCCTACTCAATGCGGCGAGTGCGTTGTTTGCGAAACTGAGAGGACGAAAAGCGAATTTCCAGCGTTTAACTGGGTTGGTGGACACGGAGAGTCCACCTAGGGGAGTTGGACAACCCTAATCCCAAACCAATAGTGCACATGAGATCTAAGATCCTGAGGGATAAGTGGCGTTTGAACCTATTGTTGGTCACAGGCTACCATGGGACTATATGTCCTAACGTTGCTCCACTGCCTTGTGGGTTAGACCTTTAAGTCAAAGGCTCCGGGTGTGGTTCCTAAGAAAACCACCTGCTTCAGTTCGGGTACTCGGGCAGTATCACAGCCTTCACACAAATCAATGATAACTGATACCGGCCTCATTGTTATTGTGTGGCGCATATCTATTTGGTGCCCCTTGTACCAATATTTATGTTTTCAAGTAAAATAATAAAATAAACATCTTTACAACTTGTATGCATGTGGATAATAAACTTATATTTTTAAGCCTAATGTATTTTTTTTATTTTATACTGGTATCGATCGTGTTTGAATGTTTTCTTATTACGTTTATGTCCTTGAAAAAGTACTTGAACAACATAATACTTTTCAGCAACTTTCATCTTATGTCCTACAATGATAAGTTTTCCAAACTAATATTTTTTGCTATAGCCAGAGTCAAATATTCATTGACAGGTATAAAACAAATGAGTAGCAAAAATGAAAGAATTCATTGACAATACTCTATTTTTTGCAGTTCATACTTTCGGAAATATTCATTTTTGGCGTAATAGTTCTCCTTTCAATGTCATTACGAATTGATATCGTCTGGAAAAGCATTGAGAAACCAAGGAGCACTGAATTGTTGGGAATGAGTTTTGATCTAGCCTTTTGGAAGATGAAATTTTACTACTTCCAATACTATTATACCATAAAAGTATTTTCAACTTAAAGCCGTATAGATAGGTCTCCATACTTGGTGAATAGGTTACGTTATTATCAATCAAATTTGTTCTATTCTCCCTTAAAAACCATTGCCTTTAAGTAATACTACTTCATATCGAAACAGGTGTCATGTACCATGAAATAATATGATGTGATGGATATTTGTAGTTGGTCGCAGATTTTAAATAATGCCCTGGAAAAGCTTTTTTTAACTACTTCTCTACAGGCTAGATCAACTTTGGAATAATTTAATCATGATGATTTCAAACAATTGTTCATTCTTCGGTCAATGAATGCATACAATACACCTATTTTTTCTTGTTTATTTCTCCAGGATTATGGACATATTTTCATGCTATAAAAAAGATGATATACCTTTTGTTCGGATTTCTGCTCCTATGGTTCGATATACAAAGTTAGTACATAATTTTCAATATTTCTTTCAATAATCAACGTTTTCATGATGTACATATTTATGAATCACTATATTTCACAAACTTAACATTCCCCATTGATCCTTTAACCTCCGTTTACCTCCATTAACAAAATTCGTTTCACCATAATTTAAATACACTAAATAGTTGTCTGTTTCTTCAAATAATAGTCAGCATAGTATATGGAATTCAAGAGAAAACTATTGTAATCAAATAAACTATCAATAGTTTTGAACATAGAAATAACACTCAATACGATAAAGCATTAGGCCTTCATAAACTGTCATTGTTGAGTATGTTTCTTTTTATTTATTTATTTATTTCAACACATAGATATCTGTTCCCTCAGAATACTGAAGCCTATGTGCACTATTGGTTTGGGATTAGGGTTGTCTAACTCCCCTAGGTGTACTCTCCATGTCCACCAACCCGGTTAAAGCGCCAGAAATTTGCTTTTCATCCTCTCGATTTTGTAAAAGCACCCCCTGCACGAGAAGGCAGAGGCTATATACGCGTGGCCATGTGAGAGCATTTCGATAAGGGGAGCTGACTCTCCCCACTCTCGACCGTACTAGGACACTTGGGGGCCCTTGTATAACAAATATAATTGCTAATGGTTTTATTCCAAAATTAGTATCATACACACCAGTGTGTGACAGAAAATATTTTAAAATGACCCATATCTCTTTTTGAAAAAAAGAAAACAAATTGTGAAAAAATCTTCCACAAGGCCACGGTGTTTTGAATAATTAGTTTTTTTCTACGAAGCAGATGTAGAGTACAGTAGTCTTAACCAATTGCTAATGTGTATATTCCTTATTAATTATCACATTGCAGTTCATTCTTCCTTACTTTTCAATTTATCTCAGTATATTTTTTTCATATGTGTATATACATTTATAGATTACCATTCCGTTTACTACTTCGAAAATATAACGTTGATTTAGTTCATACACCCATGATACTGGCTAATTCATTTATTCGATCAGAGAAAGCAAGAAATGTTGAGTTTACAACTTGTTCAAGTAATCTAATGTTTATTCTATTTCATTTTTATTATCATCCTGTTGGTTTCTATTATCGATATATTGCATCATTTTGTTGTGCTAATGAGATATGGCAACTTGGACCGAAGCATATATGTACCTGGTCCTACGTTGTAGCTGACTGACTGATTGATTAAATCACTATCAAATATTATTTTCTGATTTATACCATAATCTTGTAGTGGCTGACACTATGTCGAAGTCTCATAGCTTATTCTAGTTTTCATACAGACCAAATTACTCGTTCTCTATGCTCGTCACATTATGACCTTGTCAATTAATTTGCTTATTAACCTTGACTATTTTTATTTGAGTGTGTATATATATATTTCTTATCTGACTCATCATGTATCTGTAACTTATTTTTGTTCGACTATAAACATCGATTAACGCTTGATTAAATCGAGTTGGTTTACATACCTTCTCCACTGCACATCATTTCACTTCGCTTTATTTCTTCAATCATTTGTCTTGATCAACGATTCTCGTATTTGACTTATTTAATTCCGTTATTTACTAACATGTGATATAAGTCGATGATTATATACGAGAACTGGTGAAATGTGTATTTCGATAACGACAATCAACATACGATCAAATTGGAATCAGATGACGGACTACTAAAATCTCATTTATAATAAATGAATTAATAACTTCCAGAGATTTCCGTTTAAATTTAAACAAATAGTCTCATAATAATTAAGCGCTGAATTAATGTAAAACATTAAAGAGAAGAGAATTATATTTGTAAAAAGTTCAACCATTTAACTCGAAGTAAATTCATTATTTCTTTCAGTAATCTAATCCAACCTTTTTCAAAGAAGTATAACCAAACATTATATATATATATAGAATTAATAACTGGTTTCATTAATAAACAGTTCATTGACGGAATAAAGCATTATAACTATCTGTACAATTAGTGTATTTCACTAGAAAACAATTTTTATAAACTTATTCAAGTTAACCAATACTTTCGATTAACTCCAATAGAACATCATTCTATCATCATCAACCCCATCCAACAAAAAAAACAACCTCAGTCTATATTATTGACTGTGATCACTAAGATATCATTTGATTGATTCATTATTTAATATTAACTATCAAATCATTCTTTATGCAAATCATCTAACGAAAACTTTCTTTATGTAAAGCACATATAAAGTAATCGTTAACTCAATAAATATCATTGAATTATATTCTGAGTGAATCATATTTTATCTGATCCATATGTAAATAGTCAGCTAACCTAGTGGTTGTGTTTTATTTACATCAGATTTCACGAGAACATTATCAATTCTATCATTTCGATCATTTCAGTCAGTCAGCTACAACGTAGGACCAGGCACATATATGCATCGGCCCAAGTTGCCATGCCGCATTAGCACAGCAAGATGAACACTGGATTCACAGAAGTAGATAATCCAATGATGGTAATATATAAAAGAAAGATTGCATATAAGGACTTAGTTAGTAGTTCGTAGAAACATATGAAGCGATTTTAATCTCATAGTTTAAAAGAAGACAAAGAGTGTATACACCTACGCCATTGTGATTGATCCTGAGCCATGTCACTCAGTCTGCAAGCATTGGTTACAATAGTCGCGTGGACCCCAACCAAGTAGTCTGCATCTACCAACATGGCTCAGACTAGACGTTAGTGACTTCAAGCACTGATGCCACGTTTTGTTTTGGCCACCCCTAACTTTCTCCCAACTATTCTCAATAATAGTCAGCATTTCGCGTTGTGACATGTTCTACGAATGTCGTCCCAGAGAATTTCACGTCGTGCATTATTTGCCGGCTCTGGGACTGGTTGGGAGAAGCGGAGAGGTGGTCAGTGCATGACATGGTGTCGTGGTATGAAAGCTGCAAAGGACTGGCTTCTGTCGGTCCTTCACGGCTCCCTGGTTGGGGTCCGAGAGATGGTGCTACACGGTGGCTATAGACGTTATCAGATATGGCTCAGAATAGAAGCCAGTGGCGATCCTGCTGTAACCTTCTTTTACTTTCTTCATAAAAAGTGGTTGTGTCTCCCTTAACTGAAAGATTTCTTCTGATTGTACCTCGTTACTACCACACTACCTTACACCAATCTCTGCGTTATTGTTCTCTTTTTCTTTTTGCGCTCCTTAGTTTTTTTTTTATATTTCTCTTCGAATTCTCATTGTTTTGTGTGGCGCTCTTCTGTATCAATATTCATGTGTTCAAATAAATAAATAACA